TCACCAAGTTGCTTTGGTCATGATGTTTTATCACAGTAATTGTAACCCTAAATAACACAGTTGCAAAGCTCAGAAGACTACACATAGCATGATGCACCTTCTCAAGTTTATATAATCAGCAAACAGTTGTGGCGAGAAGAGGTTCTGTCAATAGAACAGACTGAAAGCTGGATAAATAACTTCAAACATGTAGCTTTCCTTGGTCATATCCATCCATGCTGTGTGTGGACCTTCCCTTGATGCAGTTGTTTCTGAAACTTCCCTATGCCTGTTATCTAAGTTATCACATGGATATAACAAGCTAGACTTGTGCAGAATTATTTCTCTGAGTTGTGTTTTGTGCTTTTTTTAGGAATGAATAATCATTTAATGGCGTCTCCCGAGGAAGTCATGGGGAGAACTAGTGTGCTAAAGTGCAACAGAAAAAGATAAATGTGCTTTATTTCCATGGGTTATATTCATTGTGACATGTTTTGTTTATTGGTTCATGGTATGTTCCTATAACTTTCCTTTTCTTTTTCTCCCATAAAGAGGCAGAGGAAATTCAATATAATGGTTTTTCAGACTCCCTTGCAGTGAAAGTTGGTACTTTAATTTCCCATTTACATATCTCTGAGTTGAGGTTCAGTCAGACTCCTTGAGGTAGTAGAAAATCTTGGCCTACTGTAGAAAATCTATGTTCTACTGACTAAAAGGAAAAACATATCCACAATGTCTCTGTTTCTATCTTAATCCAAATATGATGGATGTTTGATGGTTCAATGATAGTCTTGTTTCACAAAGGAAAGACATTGGGATTTATGGCATTGGTTTTTAAAACTTCTGAGTCATTAAAAACAAATCTCCATTCAGATAATTTCATTGAAAATACAAGTATCATTGTTCTTTAGACACTTTAGCAGGGTTTCTGTTATCTGTACCTGATATATAGACATAGAGCATACATGTTCTCAGGGAAGAGTTAGTGAGGTTAGAGATGTATTTAAGGTGTGTGTGTGTGTGTATGTGTGTGTGTGTGTGTGTACAGATATATACAGATGTAGCTATTGAAATCTTCTACTGTAAATTAAGAGGCAGGAAATGAGGAGAAATCCAGTTGCTTATGAGTTTTGTCAGACATACAGTCATTTTACTGTCATTACCTATCTACTCCCCAACAAGCCTGTTGAGTTTGGTTTGGTTTCTCTCCTTTTCAGATAAAGGAAGAATGTGCCTTGATATTGGACAACTTACTGAGAACCACCAAGCTATTTGACAGTCATATTCAGAACTGAGGGGTAATCAATGCACAAAGCTTGCCTCTCCAGTGCCCTTGTGATGAATACCTGGATGAGAACTGAAATAAAAAGGCTCAGGAAAGCATGAAGATGGTGTGCTTTGTCAGATGTAAGAATGGGTCGAAGTTTTGCATTCCAGATGCAAAAGTGCACCCCCACATTTCCTCAGAAAAATGAAGACTGGGGATCTGTGAGGACATGCAAGTTGTTCTCAGCTTGTACCGCTCTTTACAGAACCGTGTTTTCCCAGCTCCCTCTCTCCAAGTTGTCACTAGAAACCACACTTTCCAGAAACCTGTAGTAGAGGCACTCTTCTCCTATAAACAGAATTCACATACCTGCAGGCTTGCTACCAGACTTCCTAACGGTCTCCAGGAAGATTTTGACAGTTGAGTGATGTCAACCAACTGCGAAATGCAAAATAGAACACAAAGAAAACACCCGAGGGATTCTGTGCCTGAAGCTTCATGTGGGTTTTATTAAACCTGAGTAAGTCTCTCAGGATGACAGGCATGGAGCTGGCATCTATGCGATCCACACTGTGCTCCCACTTGGCTAATTGCCATTTTCTTCTGGACAATGTGTAGATGCTCAAAAGAAGAAAGAGGATCCAGCACCCTATGGTCCCACTTTGGTGGAGGGATGGATTATTCTCTATAGTTCTGTAGGATCATAGGTGGTACTTGTGTCTAGGCTTGGTGGAGGGAGAATTGAGAAGTGGTGAACACTGATGAACAAGCAGAAGGTTGCTTCTGTGAAACCTAAATCTGGCACCAGAGCCTGCCAGAATGTAATTGGAAACTGACAGCTTTTGAATGTCACTTTGAGCCCAGGGTCATCTCTGCAATTGTACTGGAGCACACCCTTCAGACACATAGCTGGTCACCAGTTCTGTTTTCTTTTTGTCTTGGCTCTGGCTTCAGCAGGAGGTCTTGGGTCCAGAGGAAAGTGGCACTTTTCTCTTCTCCCATCTGGTAGCATATTACTTCTCATAAATTGAGTTTGGAGGGGTCCCAGATTTGCTTTGGGGAATCACGCCTCTCTCTAGTAGTCCCAAGATTAATTTCCAGTAAGTGACTGTGGGAAGCACAGAATGCAGAATGATTGTAAAAGCTCTGGTATTATAAAGCACAATGGATCTAAGTGCAAGACTCTGTATTAATATAATATGGCTATGGCAGCAGCCACAAATGTGTGAGTGAATGTCTAAGTCACACTCTGGGGTCCCTGTGATGCTCTAACTTTTTATATTGGCATGAAGGCAGTGCATATTTAAAATGGAAAGGTTCTCAGAAGTTCTTTCTCATCTTGTCTGAGAAAGGCCTCTAAACAGCACCCCATATGATGATCAGCTGGAACAGTAGTGTCCCCAGTATTCAGAGAGCTCCGTAAATGCTTGGCAGCAGATGTAACAAAGACATCATTGGATGACCTTATAGAAGAATATATCAGGATATTATCACCAGAGGATAACAATGAGGTGAAAAAGGACAGAAGTTAGATCACATGAACCAAGCTAAAGTTGGGTAAGTAGAATCAGCGCCAGTGGCTATAGTTTACAAATAGTTTGATAAATATTTATAAAGAACTAGAAGGCAGGATTTTGGTATTTTCCAAAACAAATAAAGAGAAATTCTAAGAAAACGAAGATGCTAATTACCCCGAGTTTTCCTTGCACATTGGATACATATATCGAGCTATCAAACTGTTCCTCATCATATGTACAAGAATTGGGAGTTGACTAAACATTTTTAAAAAGAGAATATTGACAAAGGGAAGAGAAATCAGGACTACTGAAGAGAAAATGTTCCTTGGGTATTAACCTAATACCACTACACATATTATTTAATGTCACAGGGATTGCAGAGAATATTTAAGAATCTAGAATTCTTTCCCTTCTTAAGCATTTTATTGGTTCTTTGTGAATTTCACATCATGTCCTGCAGTCCCAATCATCTTGCCCTCCCCTCAGAACCACCCTCCACTCTTGCAACCTCCCCTCAACAAAGAAAACATTTTCTTTGTGGAAGCTGTAGTGTGTCTCAATGTGTCCTAGAGTATACCCTTTGGTCCACACTATTTTTTTTTTTTTTTGCTTGCAAATATTCATTGCAATGAATGGTTGATCTGGTATGAGCCTCTGTATTCTGCTATTCAGTTGACTCTGGAATCTCCCTGGGATTTCTCTTGGATACCTTGTCAACGCAGTGTCTTGTGTCATGGAAGTCCTGTTGTGTTGCATCTATAGCACTTTGGCTCCTTCATGCACTTCATCAGTTCACTCATGAGGTAGATGTTGGGGTGGGTCAATTCAAAGCCCTGACTCTGGGCCTGAGAGAGATTTGAACTGTTCAGCCCACTGGCCCTCTTGCTCTCATATGCTCAGCATCAGATCACCAGCAATCTCTGCTACCATGGCTAGCTCTACTCTGCTGCCTCTCTCACTGTACTGTAGCAGGCAAGGGGCAGGACCAGATCTGCTCCCATGACCCTATTGGAGCTAACACTTCAGCCTGCTCCTGCTGGTGAGAGCAAAAGGGAAGGAAAGGGAAAGATATCCTTGCTGATATCACAACATAGTAGACAAGAGACAATTCTGGGTCTCCCACACTCTCAGCTTTGGGTCAGCTCATCTGCAACTCCCAAATTCAGGGTCAGCTCTACTGTGCTGCCTAGGTGAAGTGCAGGGCCTGCTCTACTGAGTGTTGCAGCAGGTGAGGACCAGGGACAGCTCTCCTGCTCTTATGAACCCAAAGCCAGGTCTCCTGTGATCTGCTGCATGTGATGAAGGGGGTTAGGGGAAGAGGGTATTTCTTCCTCATCTATGCCACAGTGTTGAAGATGAGTCGGGTCTCCTGCACCTGTATCTGTGAGGTGCTGGCTCACCAGGAACTCCAGAAATGTGCAGCCACTCTCCTGAGTACCACAGCTGGCTAGTGCTTGGGTAGACTCTCATGCTCTCTGCTCCCATGCCCAGCCCTCCCATGAGAGGAGTGGAGCCTGTTCTGAACAGCATTCAGATATCAACATGTCCCCAAGTAGCAGCCCAGACTAGGGACATCTGCTGGTCTTTGGTGGTAAAAGACCCTTCCTGCTGCTGCAGGGCAGTGAGCCCAGAAGTGGTCCTGATAGCAGCATAGGCCAGGACCCCACCATGGTTCCAGGTGGCATTCCCGACTCCTCACATCAGGCTGTTCCTCACTACCTTCGAGTTTCCAGCTCTGCCTCTCTTCGTTGTGTCCACACGCTTCTGTTTCTCTTTCTCTTCTATTTCTCTACCACTTACTTAGTGGTACCTCAGGTCTCTGAGTGTCTGGATTCATCTAAAAAATGGTCTCAGGATTGCTATGACCTTGTCATACATAATAGGCCTGCAAATGTCTGCCTCCACTCCCAAGGGCTGCATGGTACCTAACAGTTGGTCTCGTTAATCTAGCTCCCTGTCCATGCCTCATGGTGCTAGTCTGGTGGTCATCTTGTTCTTTCCCTGGGCTGCCTGAGTAGCCTCATGCCCCATGAGAGGGTCATTTGTCTCAAGCTCACTCCTGCCCAGGGTCCTCGGTCTCAGGTAGGGTTTGATTGAGCTCCAGCTTGGTTCTAGCGCTGGGAGCCATTGGATCCTTCAGGATGCTGGACTGGTGGTCATTTCAGGCTAGGTCGCTGTCCAATCCCCCTGGTCTAGACTGGTGGTCATTTTAGGCTGGATTTTTTTTTTATTCAGGGAATGTAGGCTACTAATCATTTAGCTGTTTTTTAGGTCAGAACACTAAGCATAGATATAGCCTCCCTCCTTTCTGCCACCTACTGAAGCACATGTGATGCAGCAGATACACCTGCAGTGCTTGCATGGCTAGGCTAGAATTCTTTCTACTTCATTATTACTGAAGACCTCTCATCCATGTCTTACTACACTTCTGACTGTTCTCCTGACCTCCCCACTCACTTGCCCATAGGCCTTAACATCTGCTCTCTTGGATTCTAGCTGAATGGAGTGGAGGCATTGGAAAGCTGTAAGAATCAGGAGAGGAAGCCAAACAGAGAAGATCCCTTCTTCCTCTGGTATTCCATTACCATGTACTTCAAGTGAATAGTCCCATGGAGGGATCTGGGATTGAAGCTTATCTAAGTTCCCAATAGAATGAAACGTTCCGGGCTACCCTATTGATACTGAACAAAGCCTTTGGATTATTGAAGATTTCTCAGAGAGTTTGGCAACACCTTATCTAATGCCATTTCTAGTCATTTCTGAAGGCAGAAATTTCTTCATACTGCCCCCCCCCGGAGTAATTTTCATTCCTCTCAACTGAAGATGGTGATATTTACTTTGTCCAGAAGCCCTCTCTTGGCTTATAGCTCTCCTTCCCTTACTGGAATAACTTAAACTCCCCAACTGTAATTCAGTTCTGCACTGGGCTAACCTAGATGCAAAATCCCTTCACCATTCCCATTTGAAGATGCCAAAGATTAAAGCCAGATACCTGTCTCATGTGGGAAACAGCCACTAATTCAGAGAATCTTTCAGAAAATGATCAAAATATCTTACAGTGCTGGCTAAAGTTGACAGTCTCTACACGATAAAAATATCTAGCAAATAAAACAGCTTTTTAAAGGCAGAAACAAACGTTAACAGGTGAATATATTTCCAGTGAATATGATGATAACACAACCAGCATTCGGTGAGTGTTACTGAATGAAAATATTAGCTGAATAAAAATGCTAACTACAGACACTCACGCTAACAGCTGAACAGAGCGAGCAGATATTGTTTGCTGAGGGAAAATATATTAACTGCAGGAGAAAAGGAAGGAGGCTGAGTGATTTATAACAAACAAATACCTGGAGCGGAGGAGGCTTCCTCTAGTAATAGATTGTTACACCATCCACAGCCCTGTGTCACAACGCCTCAGCCTGACTTGCCAGCTCTTTTAATTCGTTGGTTTTCTCAGAAAGATGCCTCTCCATCCCAGACACCAGCAGCATGTATTCATTTATAAAAAGGGTTGTTGCTTGTGGTACCCTGGATTGTTTGCCAAATTGCTCTTCTCTAGCTCTCTCACACACCGACATTGCTCACATCACTAACACTGACACCGTTTCCCAGCTTATGTGATATGTAGGAGCAGGACTGTAGACGCCAAGGTCCCAGGTGTGGGGTCAGATGAACGCCTTTTGTATGAAAAGCTGTGTTGAAATGAGGTTGAAACGAGGAAGCGTTAGCAAATAACTCTTGACACTGTGCTCAAACAAAACTTAGAAACTGGAGGAAGTATATTTCCATTCTATATGAGGTAATTGTTTTGACATGTTAGCTTAATTAACATGAATGAAATGTAGAGTGGGCTGAGATCTCTATGGCAAATGAGAAGAGCCCTTTTGTGAGTGTCTATACAAATTGACTTTGCAGTGCACCATGGGAAGTGTCAAATGATGTGGGTGAGCTGAAATGTTTTTGTTGTTGCTACTTCTCATATTTATTTATTTCTGTATGTTTTTGCAGCGAGGCAGAAGTTTTTACATGTCAGCCGTAGACAGGGACTTTCTTCCAAGCATTTCTGTTTGTTTTATCCATCTTACTACCAAACTTTCTCTGGGCTTTAGAGTGAATTTAAAGTTCCCAATAGTGGGACAACAAATTATAAGAGGAGAGTCTAACAACCCATCCTACTTGGGAGTCAACTCCTGTGCCAAACTTTGACAAAAATGTTCCTAACACATAGTAGGCAGATTATGAATATTTATGAACTAAATGGAAGAAATATGTCTAGATCTATGTGTCTTCCATTCCCTTTCATGATTAGCCCCAAACTTTCAAATTCAAGATTTCAGTGAACTAGATTATAAATTGGGGACATGGAGGTGACTTAGCAAATGTCTCCTACATTTACCACCTTGTTTAGCCACAGGGTCTGAAGGAGTTAATGCTCACAGAGTGCTCACAGAATGGAAGCAATGGCTAATGTTGCGTGAATAACAGAGTAAATAATTATTTCTTTGCCTTTATGAGATGGCTTCTGGATAGAGGAGAAGCAGGAGGCCTCAGTGCAGTCTGCAGGGTTTAAGGAAAGAGACTTTGGATTTATGGCAATAGCTTTGGCACATGTGCTGGGCATACAGCCCAGAGGACTGAGAACTTAGATTCTTTTGGGAAAAGGGTCCTTGTGGGGCTGTTCTGGATGGGTAGAAGCTGGGAGAACTAAATCATCTTAGCTGTCCACAGAGTCAAACTCTCACACCCAGTATAGCAAGAGGCAAGATGCTGATGGGATAATTTTTTTTAACTTTATTGAAGTGTAATTGACAATTTAGGATAATGTATATACATTATTAGTACATATTCAATATGTGTAATGATTTGATATACATTGTGAAATGATTACTGTAATCAAATTAATTAACACTTATATCACTCCTATTAGAAGTGTGTGTGTGTGTGTGTGTGTGTGTGCGCGCGCGCGCGCGGATGCACACGTCTGCGTCTGTAGTGAGGACATTCAAAACCTATATTTATTGCAAATTTGAAGAAAACAATAATCACTAGGGTGCAGGGGTTTTTTGTGGTTCTTATTCAGTTTACAGTATATAGTTTATACCCTTTGACCACCATTTTTCTTACTCTTTCTCTTATTCCCAGCCTCTGGAAAACAATGTTCTACTTTTGGCTTTTATGAGTTTGACTTTTACAGATGAGATCACACTGTCTGGTTTGTTTTATTTAACATCATGCCTTCCAGACTCAACCATTTTTATATGGCAGCTTCTCCCTAATTTCAAAAGCTAAGTATCAGGTAGCCTACTAGGTATATATGTCCCATTTTATTTGTCTGTCCATCAGTGGACAGTCAGGTTAATCTTATATCCTGAGTATTGTGAATAATATTTGAACGAACACAGAAATGCATATAACCAAACATTGTTTTCATTTTCTTCAGACATATGACCAGAGGTTGGATCAATGGCTTTTATGGTAATTCTATTTTTAATTATCAAAGGCATCTCTATACTGTTTTCTGTAATGTCTGTAAAATTGTTCATTTTAATTAGTGGCATGCAAGTGCTAACTTTTAAGACCCCTTTAGCATCATTTATTGTCTTTGTTTGCAATTGCCACCCAGAAACTTCACAAAATGATATATCGCCATGGCCTTAATTTGCATTTTTGAAGTTACAGGATGTTGATATTTTTATTGTTTATTGTATTTTTTGGGTTATAATATAATTACCTCTTTTCCCCCTTCTTGTTTCTTCCTCCAAACCTTGCATATACCCCTATTTGCTCTCTTCCAAATTCCTGGCCTCTCTTTTCATTAATTATTGTTGCAGGTATGTATGTATGTTCCTAAATATAAACTGCTCAGTCTTTATAGTGTTACTTGTATCTATGTTCTCAGGGTTATTTGTTACTGGACAAGCAAGTGCAGTGCAGTGTTCTTTCCTGGTTGAGACTATGTCTTCCACACTCGGCATTTCTTAGTTGTCTGTAGTTCTTTGTGTGGTGTTGTGGTCAGATGGGCTTTCCTCATCCATCTTATGTGTCTGTTGTTGTTGTTGTCCTTATTCAGCTTACGTGTAGGCAGTCATGTTGGTGAGACTTTAAGGGTGAAGTTTATGACATCTCTAGGAGACACAATCTTACAGCAAACCCACAGATCTTCTGGATCTCCTAGTCTTTTCATACCCTCATTCACAATGTTCCCTGAGCCTTGGGTGTGAGAGTGTTTAGTAGATGTATCTGCTAGGACTGAGCTCCATAACTCTGCATTTTAACAGGTTGTGGATTTTCTTTATAATGATCTCCATATGTGGCTAAAGGAAATTTCTCTGATGAGGATTGAAGACAATACTTACCTCTGGATATAAAGTAAAATAACTAGACGGTAGATAGAGACTATACTGGTTTAGTAAAGAGATGGTTGAACTTTTCTTTTTATATACATATTGAGGCACCATACTTTTAGCTTCCAAAGTAAAAGACAAAGCTATAGGAATAAAAAGAGCACGGTACTGGCGTGGATACAGATCAACGAAGCAAAGTGCAGAGTCCATAATGGACTCACACATACACAGGCATTAGTTATGTTTCTGTTGCTAATAAAATACCATGACCAAAAACAACTTTCAGGAAGAAAGACATTATCTTAACGTACAGTACCCGAGATATAGGATCTACATGGAAGGGAAGGCATATCTTGATGGCAGCAGATGGAAGTTTTCTGATTACACTTCATTTGCATACTGAAACCCAAGAGAAAAATCAGAAACTGGAGTGTCTATATACCCTTACATCCAGTGATGTACTTTTCCCAACAAGGGTACACCCCAACGATTTCATATCCTCCTTCAAATATCACCACCACCTGAATATAAAATTTTAAAATACATAATCTATGGGGGATCTTTCTTATTCAAACAACTACAGGCAATAGGCTCATTTAAGACACAAAACATCAGGAAAACATACAGAGAAAAAAAGAGTTCTTCCAAAAATATTTTGAGCAAATTGAATATCCACATAATAAAAAATGTCAGAGAGTGATTCCTTACTGCATACAGGGAAGAAAACCTAACTCATATTTGATGAATACTAAAAGTTCTAGAATAAAATTGAAAATAATCTGACTAACATTGGTTTTGACAATAATTTTTTAGGGAACCAAATCTCTAAGTATAGACATGAGAAGCAAAACTGAACAAGGCAGAGCTCAGCACTCTGGAGTGTTCCTCCACAGCAAATGTAGCAGTCAATAGGTAAAAAGCAGCCAATGGAGTGTGGGAAAGCACTTGCAAAATATGTATCCCAGTAGAAGTTAATATTCAAATTTTAAAATTTTATGTAAAATATGAAACTCTTGCAATTT